GGGTGACAACTCAGACCTCACCAGACAGTCCTGCCCAAACCTTAACCTGCTTGTTCCAGCAGCCTCCAGGGATGTCCTGAGCAGGCTGAGCCATGCATGTTCTGATCCTGCCACACAGCAGCCTACTTCAAGACAGCGCGTGTCTCCCTGTCGGGTGACTGTGTCAGGGAAGGAACCCACAGAGCTGGGCAGACCTCCCTCCCCAGGGGCAGGAGGAGTTCGTGGGTGGGAGCTCAGATGGAGAGCCCAGCAAGGTGCGGGCAAAGGCCTCCCTGCTGTCCTCAAGGCCACACCTACACTGCTCTTGATTCTTTACACTGGGGACTATCACTTCACTCCTGTTTCTTTTTCTAGCTAGGGAAATCCTGGATCTGTCAAGGTTATTGCCTGTCCGATGCTTTTAGTGTTACCTATACAACGAGTAACAAAAGACAAAATGTCGAATTAGATATTTTCGTTCTGTGGCTCCAAATACTATCTTGTCCTATAGTGAATAATAATTAGATGATTATAATATTACAAATGCCATTTCTTGATTTTTGGTAAACATTTTTAAGGTATAACGACTTTACTACCTACCTGGTAATCACTACCCAGATAAAAAAAATATGTATGTGTATGTGTGTGTGTGTGTGTGTGTGTGTGTGTGTGTGTGTATGTACAGGTTTTTAACCTTTATAATTAACTCATCTCTAAGCAAGGGTCATCACGACAGAAACGCTCACAGTCACAGGACAGATGTAAATTTATGAGCCTCGATGGTGCAGAATAACAGCGGCTTGTTCAGTCGAGAGGAAGGAGGGGTGAGGTGGGGGCAAGCACAGGAGGGCTGTGCTGGCTGCCTCCAGTTCGTGAATCGAGGAACAGAGGTTTCGTTTCCTTGTCAGTTACAGTGATAAGCATAAAAAGTTAAAGCCAGAAAAAGGAGTCACCTCTAGGGGCTGGGAACGGAGAAACTATGCATCAACTTCTCAGTATTTAAAAATTAAATACTCAACAACTGGCAATTTATATGAGCACAAATTTAAATTTGTACTCATATGAAAGTTTACATGATAAAAAGTTAATTGTTCAAACACCTTACCTCAGCTAGTGCTGCGTT